GTTAAGGAGGTTGTCATGCCATGGAGCTCAGACCTAGTCAGAGAGGAATTTTTAGAGAAGTGTAAGGGAAAGTTTAGGATCTTTATTGATAGGTGTCTTGTTGTATTGTTGGCAGGGAAGTGGTAGCTGCCTACTTTCTCCACCTATTTTTACACTCCCTCCTCCATGTACTTCATTCATAACAAAGCTGTCCATATCTTCCACTTTAAATATTTTGGATTGTTCTTTATCTCTTGTATGGCTTTCTCTTCCAATTGAACTTCGTTATTCTGGTATAATCGCTCCTGCTTTTTGCTCTATTTCTTTAATCTCCCTTTTAAATTATTTTTTTCTTTGTTGGAATAGTCGTGTCTATTTTTCCCGTCTTTTGTAGTGTTATTGCATTCTCTAACTTGCTCCTCTTTCTGACCCTCAGCAAAAGAAAACATTTCAAGTAGACTTTTTTGTTGGGCATTTTGGAATAATTTTGTTTTGGATTTTTTAATTGAGTTTGTTGGGCGAATGGTAACTCTTAACACTTTCCCTGGGCCGACGGGCTCACCGCAAGGTCTTTTGTCATGGATTGGCTCTGTTCTTGATCAATATTCATCTGGAAGTCAACTTGCAGTGTTATAAAGCAGGTAACAACAAATACCCGAGATAAAATAACTGGAATGGGGAAACTTTTTGAATCGAGGGGAGGCCACGGCTGTCACAAAAACAGTGAGCCTACAGCGTGGGTGGGTACCCACACAGCAGGGTCAGAATGTCACGTGGGGTATACAGAGAATGGCAGGACATTGGCACGCATTTTAAAACAAGTCCCATTGTATTCGGACAATAAATGGAATTTTTACAAATACTGTATTTAAAATTAATGATGCCGTTTGCGTCCTTGGGCACTCCAAATTTTGGTTCTGTGACGGAATTTGCAGCATCAGGCAGCGAAAGTGTTAATATGGCACCAATCACATTTTGCATAATTTTTGTATACGGGCATATATTTCAAGAAATAGTAAAGGGCCTTGGGAAAGCCACTGAGCATATTTAATCCTTAAGTTTTTTATTTATTTTATTTATTTATACTGTATATACAAGAGTTCTTCACATTCTTCTACAGCCACTGGCCCGAAATGCTACGCGTACAAGTCCTTAATCCTATGTTCCATGGAATATGACCCTGCAAAAAATTGTTTAACAACCAAGTACCCATTTTATTGTTGAGTTAAACAGAGGCTACAGTTAAGGATTTGTGCCCAGTAAATCCTCCCCGGCCAGGATACGAAACCAGGACAAAGCACTCGCGAAACGCCAGGTGAGCGTCTTAACCACTACACCACAGGGACTGCTGCGCAAAACATCATATGAAGTCAGACATAGAGCTCAGTTTTTTACATTTGCTGAAACGTTTTCATATGTTTTGTGCATAATCTACAAGGCAAATGCTCCAACTTTGTCTAAATGATACCAACGTAACTTGAAAAACAAGAATATAAAAAATAATTATAAAAATTGAATATTGAAAATGTCAGGTTTTGAAATCAGCTTCAAAAATATAAAATATCACCAATTATTCATTTTGTGTTATTATGCTTTCAAAATAATATCTGGTCTTCATTTTCATATACAGTATTTAAAATAAAAGTTCTCAGTATCGTTTACTGTAACAAAAAATTATCAATATGGCCCTTGAAATATGTGCAAATCTAAACACCAAAAATTTATAACTCCAAACGTTTAGGGGTTTATGAAAAATCGATTCTATAGGGACTATACAGACAGCTGTGCACACTATACATAAAAATGGTGAGAATCAGTCATAAACTAGATTTTTGGATACTGAAGCTGAAATTCTAGTTATAGATATAATTGAAGTTGAAGTTATCGACAACGAATAAGGCAGTTCTAATTCATAAATTTTCTTGTATGTTTTAATAAACATTATTTGGCATTCGTACTCGAATGTGTGAAAGTTGTAGGTCAATATGTGTTGAAATGATAAGAAAAAAATCCCCCCCCAAAACAAAATATAGGGATAATTATAATAATTATAATGATTTAGGGGATACATGGTATACTTTATATAAGTGAAAAAAAAACCTAAACTGGTCCCTAATCATCAAAACAACCTAAAGAGACAAAGAAAATAGTTTGAAATCTGAGAAAAAATCAGCCAAAAAAAATTCAGTCTCAAGTTCTGCAAGTTGTGATGATTTATTTGTTGACCAATTTCATTCTATCTTCACATAGATAGGGGCTGGTATGCACTCTCCAGGATGTGAAGGTTACAACAAAATCAGATAAAAAAGAAAAAACAATCTTAAAAAAAAAAATTCCCTAAAAGAAAAGAAATTTTGAACATTGATGAAAGTAACAGATATTAACATTGGGCAATGTATTTATGATATATAACAAAATAGAGCATAGCAATATACAGTTGTACCTCGGCTTACGAATGCCCCTCTTTACGAACTTTTCGGGTTATGAGCCCGATTTCTTCGGAAAATTAGAATCGGGTTACGAACTTTACCTTGGGAAACGAGTTTGTTGATATGCGTATGGCCAATCTAGTGCGTGGTGGCATGGCGATCATTTACCAATAGATGTCTGGCACTTCAGTTTACCAGTGCCTCCCGCCTAGTGACAATCGTGCCAGAATTCTTTGCAAGGATTTACAGTATTTTCGGATTTTTGGCTATTTGAACATAAATTTTGTTGTTATATATCTCGCCATGGGTCCCAAGAATGCCAGTGGTAAGGTTCAAGACAAGAAAACACAGGTGAGAATGACCATAGATGAAAAACTAGAGTTCATTCGTAAATATGAAAATGGTACACATGTTGTTGAACTAGCTAGGCAGTACAACAAATCTTCAGGGGGAGGAGGAGGAGGCAGTAGAGGATGTCTCTTCCTCATTAATTAAGAAAATATGTGCAGTACAGGAAGAACTGCAAAGTTTTGCTGACAAGAATCACCCAGATAAAGCTTTAGCAGGCCGTTGCATTGATCTTATTAATGACAATGTGATGTCTCACTACAGACAAGTGTTACAAAGAAGGGAAAAGCAATCTTCAATGGAACGATTTCTAGTGAGAAAATCAAGCAGTGAGCCAGAAGCAGGTCCTAGTGGTATGCAGGTAAAACGTGCCAGAGTGTGTACCCGAGAGAAGTCATCACCGCCTGATGTTATAATGGAAGGGGACTCCCCCTTCCAAACAGTAACACCACCTTCCTCCTCTCCTCACCGTCTTCTATATGCCAACAGGAGTGGGCGCCTGACAGTTGGGTGGACAGCACTTCGGATTCGTAGTCCTGAGGTTCCGGGTTCGATCCCCGGTGGAGGCGGAGACAAATGGGCAAAATGTTTCTTTCACCCTGATGTCCCTGTTACCTAGCAGTAAATAAGTACCTGGGAGTTAGATAGCTGCTACGAGCTGCTTCCTGGGGGGTGTGTAACAAAAAGGAGGCATGGTCGAGGACCGGACCACGGGGACGCTAAGCCCCGAAATCATCTCAAGATAACCTCAAGGAGTCATCAGTAAAGGTAAGTAATAACTTGTACATATTTTTGTACTTAAGATTTCGGTGAATTAGGTATAAAATTTACTTTGAAGTTAATCCGTTCCAGACTCCCCAAAAAATTAATTCATTTTTCATTATTTCTTATGGGGAAATTCACTTCAGTTTACAAATTTTTGGGTTACAAGCCATCTCTGGGAACAGATTAAATTCGTAAGCTGAGGTACCACTGTACTTACTCATTATTATTTGTGTTGTTATATATTACTCAGCAATGCTATAAAGGCACTGGCTGCATATCCACTTTGTGGACACTTCTTACTACTATTCTTCTTCTTTTGTGCATTAGACAGGTGCTTGCATCTCTTTATTACTGCATTATCCAGCAGTTCCAGTTAATAGGAGCTGTTCTCCTTATCAACAAAATGTTCTTCTTTTTTTAAAAATTTGTCTAAAATCAATTTCTGAAAATATTTTGATGAAAGTTTCATGATGCAGAAACCAACAAGTTGGAGATTTGTTTAACTTTTTAAGTAATTTTTACATAAATATTTTTCGCTTCCCTACCCCTTTTGCTGAGCAGTTTAAGGGTTAAAACCAAACTCTGTTTCATTATAAATTTAAGATACCCTTTTTTTAATTCACAAATATTGATAATTTTTCCTTTGAAAATGAAGTTTGAAGGCTAGGGTGTGGTAAATATGCTAGGTGTAGTTAAATCTTTTTACATACAGGTTTTGGTAGTTGTCCGCTACGTAGCCTTCCTGGCTTGGTGCCTTGTTTGAAAATTATTTACTTGCTAGTTGTCCTTCATTTCACATATTGAAATTAAGATTTTGCTCGGTGAAATCTGCCCAAAAGGCATAGTGTGTGGGAAATATTAGGGGTATGAATGGTAACACTCTTAATATGGCTCCAATCACATTTTTGAAGATACTGAATTTGATGGATGGACCTCAAGAAACAGTTGGAGCCTTGGGGGAAAGCTATTTTGGATATTTAAAACCAAATTCCATGGTTTGTTTTCATTTTTAGTTGGCAAGGTTTTTGTTCATTCATGTATGATCCTCCTATCTTTTGAAAATGAGTTTTGAGGCTGGTGAAGTGAGAAATATGCTAGATGTGGTTAAATTTTTTGGCAGACATTCATTTGGTAATCTATTATAGATGAAGCAAAATTTTCAAAGGGCATGGAAAATGCCCTGGAAGCATTTCCAATTGCAATGAATTGGTGGTTGTTCCCAAATAGGCATTGATTCAAGAGTGTACTCAATTGATAATTCATTAGTTAGGACCTGTACACTCAACTTCACTGCCAGCTGCATTACTTCTCACTATGGCATTATTTTCTATCCCTTATATTATTTTGAATTTTTGTTACTTGGTTAGACTTCATTGGTTGCCTTATGCTTCACTAGCACACTTATCATTTGACTGTCATATTATATGACTATGACAATTTATAAATTAGATGCTATGAACATAGGATCAAACTGTGTTATTTAAACAGTAATACTTTTATTAAAGTATGTACATTACATACACAGACTGCAATATGATTGCCTTCATTGATACAAGGCAATTAGAAACTTGTATTCCCATCACTGATATACAAAATTATTTCAAGTAATATTCTGTAAAGCAAAAATATCATTCACTATTAAATATGATTACTAGCACCTAACTTAGTAGAGATTATGGGTCATTGTACTTTCTACTATCAACTTCTTAAAAGCTCCTATTATCCTGGCAAAAAGACTATCTTCACGGGGAACTTTGCGCACTAGTCGCCTGCACACACTCTTGGGTGAAGGAGGAGGAGCTTCTTCATAATCCATTTTGTGATCCTCTTCATCTTTTGTCTCCTGATCCAGCATATCCAAAAATGCTGAAAAGTAAAATTATATAATTAAAAACAAGTGTTAATTTGATTTAATATGTGAATAATACACCTGATGTGTGAGAGCCATTGTTCTCACACATCACTACTCTTTTAAGTAGTAGCAGTTTGTGATGAAAGAAGTTTGCTGTTTGTATATGACAACTCATGAAGAATAATGTACATCTAGTCTCAAGAAGCAGTGGGGTACTAATATGGATAATTTACTCAATTATAGTGGTGCTGCTGACTGTAGGAGTGCCAGTTATGGGCTGGAAACAGTCAATTATTCCCCGAGCTAGCTCCAGGCTTTACCTATGATACAGTTCACACATCATCAGGTGGCAATACCAGTTACCACAATTAGATACCTGCTAACACCAGCATCCCTCACATTTTGCCTGGTATTCACTCACTTCACATCACAGCACATCCTAAATTTTCCAACGTCGAGAAACTGTCCTATCTTAACCAACCAGAGAACCCAAAACAGAAAATGGTCCAGTATGTCAATTTCAAGAGCCAATACCATTTTCTAGTACGATAAATTTTGGCTTTATTTATTTATATATACAAGAGTTCGTACATTCTTGTACAGCCACTAGTACGTGTAGCGTTTCGGGCAAGTCCTTAATCCTATGTTCCCTGGAATACGACCCGCCAAATCGTTTAACAACCAGGTACTCATTTTACTGTTGGGCAAACAGAGGCTACAGTTAAGGATTTGTGCCCAGTAAATCCTCCCCGGCCAGGATATACGAACCCAGGACAAAGCGCTCGCGAAACGCCAGGCGAGCGTCTTAACCACTACACCACGGAAACTGCAAACATACTTTACTTTAGGTTAAGTATGCGTCAAAATGCTACACTCTATTGTAAGGACAGGTTACACAGAGCTTTGCAGAGGCTCAGTCAATTGAAAGTTTATTCCTTGGAACTTTGTTTCTGCACAAGAGGTCCGTAACTTTAGTTTTTGCTTCACAGGATGGTACCAAATAATTTGCATGTCTCTTCTATTTATGTACAGTACTTTGAGGTGGTGCCTTAAGTTTAAGGTTTAACTTAAGGGACTTAAGTACATTAAGTTAAACTTAACTTAAGTGCCTTAAGCTTAAGGTTTAACCCTTAAGTTATGGTTATTGTCAAATGTTGATCACCAGGGCAATGCAGTTATCATATGTTGATTTTAGGGTTTTAGTTATTATGGTGCACTTTTTGATCAAATGAAGTCATTTAATACATCCATATGGATGTAATGAAGTTAGCAGAATTATTTTCATGGTTCTAAGTTATCATTTTGAATTGCTTACTATGCGATGAGGTTATCATGCACTAGTGGCCTGCGATGATATAATAATCTGGGATTTCCTGCAAGTGTTTGAACACATTTGTGGACGACATTACCAGACAGCAAAGGTGTAGGTTGTAAGCCACTTTCTTTGAGCTGCATCAAGAACAGATATAACGTGCAATATAGGTATATGTATTACATTGCAGGCATACATACTCACTGCTTTTGTCAAATGTGTGTTTATGAAACAAGTTATTCCACACATTGTGCATCAACCTGGTCCCTGGAGGAAGCCAGGGACCTGGCTTCCTCCACATGTGCACAAAATCAAATGACTTGGTTTCTTCCCTGACATTTTTCTTACTTTTTGCATGCAAATGTATCATTTTATTAAAAAAAAAAAAAAAAAAAAAAAAAAAAAAAAGTCAGACAGATTGGTGCCATAAATGACAGCTGCACACAAAGTATTAAGTGCTGATCTGATTCATGCAGACAGTAAATGGCCTCCATATTTTCTAGTTCTGATATCTTGCCTGTCTTGAAGAAGGATGCAAGGACAAAACAATATTCCGTGTGAGATATCGCTTGTACTTTTAAAGAATACATGTGCTAGTACTCAAGTACACTACAAGATGGCAGCTCAGGTCACCCAAGAGTTCAATCTGCTTGCTTCCTAACTTGCATGCTACTGCAAGATGCCCTTGATCCTCAAGGTGAAGAAAAGCAAAGAATGATATGTATTGAAAGCTACTGAGGCTGCCTAAAAAAAAGCATTTCATTAAATTCAACTTTTTGATTTGAAGGCTATCCATCAGTAGCTTCCTGGTATGTGCAATACTCCCTAAGCTACTTTTCAGTAGATATCATCTTTGGGCTGAAATAAGCATATTAATAAAGGAACAAAGATGGAGGGGCTAACCCATGGGGGTAAGAAGGCTGGAAACCCAAGGCTAGGGGAAAAGAAGGAACTAAGCAACTGGAAAGACACCCATGAGCCACACAGGCCTCCCGAGGATAGGGAAGCAACCACTAGATAACAACAAATTATTATACAAGCATTATTGCCAGACAATATAGTAATTTAAAATCTATAGGTAAAATCGCTACAATAGATGTCTAAATGTTACCAAGCCATGGGTAACTTACCATGGGTAACTATGACTTACCAAAGTTGCTTCTTGTTTTGTTTTATTAGGTCCCATGCAGAAATATACCTAAGTCTCTTGCTGGCCTACTAAGTGTTACTTCTTTCCAGTTTGTCTTATTTGGGCAGTGTATGAGTATTTATGATTCATATGTACACTTCAGTAAGATTGTGCCCAATGTGTTTAATGACAACTTCTGCTCTATTAAATCTATGTTGCAATCTTATTGGGGTTTATGCACTGTGATAGATAATGTTCCAGCAGTCTATTGGTCATTTCTCCACAGTGTTGATATTTCTTCTCATCTTCTGGAACCTGTGAGCCTATTTCCCATGCACATAGGTATCCAAGCCTGATGCAGTGCAAGTGCACTTCTGTTTTTCTACTGCTCCCTTTCATCAAAATATGTGGTTTGTAGTTGGTTGAATTCTTGTACTAACCAGAAGACCCAGATGTTGCAGCTGTTGTGTTGTGGTCACTATACATCTTCTGCATTACTCTATCTCTTAATTACTTGCTTATTGTGTGTTAGACTGTGGTATGTAAATGTCTACATTTCTTCTTAGTTGCAAATTTTGTAGCTTCATCTGCAATGTCATTTCCTATTATTCATACATGATTTGGCACCCTATTGATAAGTATCCGACGACCTTCACGTTTGATTACATAAATACAATGACATTTGTGGTCAGATGGATGTTGTCACTTTAGTGTTCTTGTTGCAAGATTTCAATGCCAGTTCTTGAATATGTATGTATGATATCATGTCAGTCTTCAGCAAGAGTATGTTCCAAAGCCTTTTGAATGGCTAGCATCTCTGTTTGTAAAGTTGAACACCCATTTGAGAGTCTCCAACTACAAAATTTCCTGCTTTAACTGCAGCTCAGGATTCTTGTCCCTGCTGGTCTACTGATCCATCTGTGAAGTATGTGAAGCTGTCAGATGCCAAGTTTGTTTCTATATTCATCTGTGCAATGTTGCATAGCCGATGGGGATTAGTCAAATTATAGCTCTTGAAGGAAAAAAGAATCATAGTCTGCTGGCAGCAATTTCCCAGGGGGCTTGCATAATGAAGTCTGCATGTATTTCGTTGACACCCCTCTCGGTGATTGTATTTGTGATCTCGAATGTATTGAGTGTTTAGCTGCTTGGTTGGCCAAGTCTACAATGATATTAACTACAGTACTGTATCACATTATTCACACTGTATTTGTCTTTTTTATTATTTATTAATAAGATGTCTTACACCAGCACCATGGTGCTGAAGGTGGAAAGAAAAAGTGTAAATATATCTTCATGGATAGAAAATTGCCATGATACACGAGTAGCTGTTGGTCAATGCTGTGACACTTGTGGTGTGAGGTGATGGAGCCAGCATCAGCTGGCTACACCACCACCCTTCCTCATTCTTTCTATGAGTTTACTCAGGCTTAATAGTGAAGAGCTGAAATGTGCAGGACACCTGGTTGACTAGTGCTGCTGTCTGGTGGCAGGATGGAGAAGCAACAGGGTGTAAACCCACTTTTGCCATTTTTTGGCTATGTTTTTCCTCGGTGTGTGTTGTCTGTGACACCCTCAGCTTGCTTGCCTCTATGAGAGGGTCAAGATCCTAGTGCCTGCTTCCAGTAGGTCATGAAAAATTCTAAGACACCAGGTGAGACGATTTTGGCCTTTGGTTACCAATGCATAAGCTGTGAGGAAGCAGTGAGGCCACCCTAGAAATGGTGTTGCATAACAAAAAAAAAAAATATATATATATATATATATATATATATATATATATATATATATATATATATATATATATATTTTTTTTTGTTATGCAACACCATTTCTAGGGTGGCCTCACTGCTTCCTCACAGCTTATGCATTGGTAACCAAAGGCCAAAATCGTCTCACCTGGTGTCTTAGAATATATATATATATATATATATATATATATATATATATATATATATATATATATATATATATATATATATATATATATATATATATATATATATATATATATATATTTTTTTTTTGCTGCAATGGTCATTAGTAAATGGAACATGTTTACAATTCCAAAGCAACTGTAAAGAGCAAATATGACAAAATGTATAAGATGGGGGGTTCAAACAAGCATAGCTTTCATCATGTAATTAAAATTACTGTGGGTAAATGCACACTTGGTCACAAATGTTGTACTTACCAATTGATTTAGGAGCTGGTGCAGCTGAAAGAGCAGACTGTGCAGTAGCTACTCGGCCATACATCACAAGCAAATGAATGAGATCTTCTATAAGTGCTGGGAATGCTTTGCCAATACCCACCAAGGATGGCAATGATGCTTCCATTATTAAGAGTCTCTCCTCTTCACCCAAAACTGTTAATGAAAAAATTGTCATGATATTTAACACAGCATCTATTTTTATTTATATTCAACATAATAATTTTATATACCTTAATAACTGACAAAAATAAAACAGAGCACCGTGTGTAATGAAATGCCAAATCCACAAGGGCTGTGACGAGGATTTGAACCTGCGTCCGAAAGCATCCCTGACGCTGCTTAAATCGACTGAGCTACGACATGGTCAAAAGGAGTTGAAACCGAAATTCTACTGAACTTACTGGATCCTGCAGCCTCTCTGAGGCACAAACCAGGGCTTTACACAACTCACCCCATGCACTCAAGCTATGTCAATAGGCTGTTCTCCCTTTTTGCCCTTATTTCATTACACACAGAAATCACATTTGCGTGATGCATCAAATGAACAAATCCACAAGGGCCGTGACGAGGATTCGAACCTGTGTCCGAGAGCATCCCAGACACTGCCTTAATCGACTGAGCTACGACATGGTCAAAAGGAGTTGAAACCGAAGTTCTACTGAAATTACTGGATCCTGCAGCCTCTCCGAGGTACAAACCAGGGTTGGTACTGAATCAATTTCGATTAAGGTTCGTGGTCACCCAACCACGAACTCCAACCAATCTCTGAACCCCGGGAGAAGAGGAACATGCTAATAAGCGTCCTTGAGGTCTAGAGAAATCATCCAAGTGCCTGGCTCAAGAGGAAGCCGGACCTGGGACAACGTGGTCATCCGAAAGGAGAGGCAAGGAATCAAACGATTCAGATCGGACAAGTCCAGAATGAACTGAAGATTAGCACAGTCCTGTTTCGGAACTGGAAAAAAAGCGGGACATCCACTTGAGGGACGAAGTTGTGTCGACCACACCCAAGCGAACCCACGCCAAGATGACCCGACAGAGACAGGGAAGAAGCTTGGCCTACCAACCCAGAACCCACAAACTGAGGAGCCGCCCAATGCCACCAAAGGCCGGAAGAGATGACCCGATAAGCCTACAAATCATGGGACCAAGCATGGTCAGAGAGAGCAAGTCCCCTCCCCCCCACATTTCCCTCTCAACAGGGCAACCCGCAAAAGGGTCGACGTGACTGCTGAGAAGCCAAGTTCCGTACAGAGCAACCACTGCACCAACCAGGCGAAGACAGCCCGGAGGACACACCAGCTCAGAAACTGGCACCAACGACCCACCTTGACCAACCGAAACCCAAGCCCTGGCAAGACCACCCTGAGAAGACCGAGAACGGAGACTGGTGAGGGGACTGGATGGATAGTAAGAGGACTGGATGGATGGATGGATGGATGGTGGAAGGGGGGGGGGGGGAATGAATGAATGGATGGATGGTGGGGGAGGGACAGAGGTGAGTGGATTTTCTCCCCCCCCCACCCACTGGGGCAGGTCAGTGGGAGAAAGGCTGGTGGGAGTTGGGGGGAGGGGGCCAGAGCGGGAAAGCAAATCTTTCAGAAACATCAGTCCTAGAATCATGTAAGGGAAGAACACATGGAGAGCAAGTGGGTGGGCAGGTAATAGTGAGAGTGGATGAGTAGTAGGGCAGGTGGCAAAGTGGGTGGATAGGCAGGCAGCAGTGGTTAGGCAGGTGTCAGTGTGTGCAACCAGCAGTGAGATTGTTGGCAGAGTGAGCATAGTTGGCTTGCAGGCAGCAGAACAAGTGTGTGGCAGATGATAGACTAATGAGGTGGGTGGCAGGGTGGGCACAGAGTGGATGGGTAGCAGGGCGGTCAGGAGACAGTGCGTGGGCAGATGAGTAGCAGGACGGGTGGTGACAGTGGGTGGGTGGGTAGCAGTGGGCAGGCTACAACCCACAAAAGTGGCATGAGTGGGCGAGCTTCCGACTAGGACTAACATAGGAGCTGGTTAACCCTGGTCCCTCCCCAAGACCCCCTCCCCCATCCTGCACACCGGACCCTTCCCGCTACCTCCATCTCCTCATCCTCCACACTGGCCGCTCCCCAGCTGAACCCCTCCCAGCCATATGGACGGTATTAATACTCTGGGCTTCCTTGCTACCAGCTAATGGATCGGGAGGCATCGGGAGCCTGACATTAAACTCTTATTGTTTACTAACTGACTGGTTGCAACTCTGAAAGCCTGACTGTAAATGCTTAACTGGTTGCTACCAGAACTGTGAATGCTTGACTGCCTTTGGTTATGACTGCCTGTGACTGGTCTTGACTGTGAATGCTTGACTTACATGTTGTGACTAACTGTCTGTTCTGACTGGCTACCACATAAGTAGAGGCAGTGAAATGTGTGAAAGAAAAATCTGGAACCAGTAATGCAGATATGAATGCACTTAATAAGTGCAGGAGATGGTCCTTCTAAACACTCACCTCCTCCCCCCTCTCCCCACTCCCTCCTCACCGTCTCCCATATGCCAACAAGAGTCCTCAGTAAAGGTAAAGTGCAGTTAAAAGTTTACTTATGGTTTATATATTTATACCTGATTGTTTTGTGTTTGAAAAATATGAGTAGTATTCTGTACAAAATGTATTTTTAAGTTAACATTTTTGGGTGAAACAGATTAATTATATTTACATTATTTCTTACGGGAAAATTCGTTTTGGTTTATGAACCGTTTCTGGGAAAGGATTAAATTCGTAAACAAAGGTACCACTGTATGTAAGAAAAACTTCTTAATGGTATAAAACAAGTATGAAAAACTTTTTCATGATGACATGATTTTTCATTTAGTCTATGCAAGATGAACATTCAGAATTTCCATCCTGATGCGTCATATGAAGGATAAGACTCGGAAGAAAAACGGTTTTGTTTGTTGCTCTAATAATTGTTTATACTCACCAGAGAGAAGTGTAGCCAGTGCATTAATGGCTAGTCTTGATATACTAAGTGTAGATGGCATAGCATTCTGAAGAGCCAGATGAGAAGTTAGCTCCACAGCAAACAACTGTTTATCCAAGTCAGGAAGTTGGAGAAGCTCTGGAATCCAGTTAAGGCCAATAGCAATATGCATGGAAGGGACTCCTCGCACCACTGGTCCAATCAACTCTCCCGGATAACCCTAAAAAAAATTAAACATAATCAATAATCAATTGTAACTACTCATAAATATTATTCACATAAGAGTCAACCCTGATGAAAAACTCAAGTGTGTAATGTACCAAAGCATCCTTTCTGGGCAGCCTCAGTAGCTCCCTGGTGCACTGGCTCTGGTACCAGAGAAATATAAAAAACAAAATTCTGATGTGCTCATGCAGTGGGAGGAGAGAACAGTAATCTGAGAACATACTAAAATCAAGTAAAACTTCCAATAAAGTAAAAAAAGAAGCAAAACAAACTAACCCAAATTAAAGAGAAATCCAAATCAGCACCACTGATTTGGCATTTAAACAATTTAGCACAATACTATTTTATTTTTCAAGGTTATTCCTCTTGTCTAGTGGAAAAGTATAGATATAATTTTTTTTAGGAACGTTATTACTGACAATTGTTACCTGGCATACTATAATCTTAATTTTCACTTAGTCAATTTTGAAAATAATTTTTTTGGGGGATGGGGAAGAGACGGGGTTCTAAAACAAACTACAGCACATGTTAAACTCGAGTACTGCACCAGCCGACATATTACTGGGGTGTAGTGGTGCGCCAGCTGACACGAGATCACATTAGTGTATCATAAGATTCGAAACTCCCATATTGAGAGAGGTTATCTTGAGATAATTTCGGGGCTTAATCTCTTCTTTCCTTTCGGGGCTTCTCCCAAATAAGCTCTTCGGCTATTAGAGAGAACGTAAATTTCATGGCGAATATTTCTAAACTATCCCCAAGTAGATCGGATCGAAAATGGAATTTATACAAATATTTTTTCTCGTGACTCGTGAGCGAGTCACATCAGCGAAAAAGTGTTATAAAAAATATAGTTGACTTGTGAGCAAGTCACATCAGTGGAAAAGTGTTCAATTAATGTGCTTTAAGACAGATGATGGCATTCAAATTATCAAATGGATTTCATTCTTCATACAAAGCTCACAGTGGTCTTGAATATTTGATTTCATTAATAATAGGATTCTTTTCTCCTATTAATAATAGGATTCTTTACTTGTTGTCATCACACACAACAGCCTCTATATTTAAGTTAATACTGCACTGAACTTTTGTTGGCCAGGTCACAGTTGCTCTTGCCTTTAACATTTGAATTGCAGAAATACCTTAAATTTTTTCTCATTTCTAAAAAGAAGTCGGATATGAGGTTCAGTTCTTATTAGACTTTAAAACACTAATTGTTGTGAAGAAAGAAATGAACACTTGCACAGCATGCAAAGACGGATGAGGTAACTAATCAAAAACATTTAGCAAATGAGAATATTACAGATAATTTGCATTAAAAGAGAAAGAGAATTGACTTGAACAGTAGTTTGCAATACTGTATATGAAACACAGATATATGTACATAACAGATACCAGAACATTTATCAGCAATAAACTATTGCAAACCAACCTGAAAATGGACCAACTTTGCTAATGTTGTATCCTTGAGGAATGCTTGATGGATGTAGGAACACACAATACTCCGTATTTCCTGAAGAGCCAATGCTCCGGCACCATCCTGAAGCAGAAATGAAGACTTAATACATAATGCCAATAAGATCATACACCCTTTATATTCTTTAGCTATCTATATATTTTTCCACATCTTATCTCTTCTCCTCTACTGACCCATTTTGACAAAGCATTACATGGGTGGCATGTACCTCCAGCTCAAAGCAGGGAATTTCATAGGTCATTATCAGTACAAAAAATATTGTTCTATAAATACAGTACAAATAAAATAATGTTAATAAATATTTCAGATACAGTATAACCATAAAATATTTATCTTCATTTGAGATCTTCATTCTCAACTGTAAAACATTTATAGTCTAAGCTTGTAAAGCTCCTAATAGCCAACAACTGGAACAAAATTTACTTACAGAAAGTCTGCCCACCTTCTCATGGTCTTTCATCAGACAAGCTTCTAGCAGAATCTGCACCGCAGAACTTTCCTGAGTCAGAACAAGGGCACCTCGCAACTTTTCTCGTTCTTCTTCTAAAGCCTGTGCTGAAGTTATAGTACTACCTGCAATCTGACTGTGTGGGGTGCTCACTACAGGTGTGTTTTGCATCTGCTGTGATAAGAAAGTACGGGAAGACAGGAGATAAACTTGCAACATGTACATCACCAGTTGCAGGAGGGGTGCACACCTGTAGACAAGAAGTAAATGCAGTAGAGTATTAAAAGGGTAATTTTAATTTGAGCTTTATAGAGTTATGATTATTTCCCATGACTTTAATGTCTTTTCTTGTTAATTTTACCTAAGCAGTGTAATTGCATTACAAATGTATTCAGTGTTTGGACTCAGAACACCAACACCCTTTAATTTTCTAATAAGCAAATACGTACTGTATACCAATTTCCAGCAACAATTTGAACTAGTTGAACTCAAGATTAGATGCAATAGAAGGAATCTCATATAGCTAATGTTGGATGCAATATATTAGGTGTCTGGAAATCAAGAAAATTACATTTTTGGTGTTTGGAGCTGATCAAAATAATTAAATTATTATAATAATATAGAAATGAGTAAACATACAAAAATTTTCTTTGAGCATGAGCCATTCAGTTGCCCCCTAAGGTTAGATCCACTAAATCCTCTAGCTAAGAATCATGACAATCTGGAAGGTGACATTTTTAGTACTGGTGCCACAAGGAACTCTTTTAATAAGGTTCTATAGAATCATAAGAGTTGCTAAGGGGGTTCACTGGAACAAGTTCAGTCCAGACAGTAATGCTTGCCTGTCAGTGACTACAGGGAGAGTGAGATCTACCTCTGAATGATCCCCTCCTCCAGGTCATTTATACCTGACATGTTAATTACCACTCTCAACATTAATGTTTTCATCATATTTTTTCTTAATGTTGTAGATGGAGTTGGATTCAACAATCTCTTCCTTCAAAGCATTCCAGTTGCTAACCACCCACACAGGAAAATAAAACTTCCTTCCATCTCTGACTCGCTTGTATGTCCAGCTAAGTGAAAAAATAAACCAGTGTTGAATGTAATGAAACGCCTTTTTCTGGGTGAAACCCTGAGGCTCCCCGGAGCTTACTAGGCTGATATGCTAATGTCAGATTTTAGCATCAGTCATATGTATGGAGTTCAATGGGCCTACCAGGGACCACAAGCCAGAACTTGGCCCCCTCAAAAGAGGCAAGGGGGAGCAATGGCCTATAGAAACTCCCGTGTGGTTGGAAGCATTCTGTGTCTGCCATCGACAGAGTCAGGCACCTAGAAAGGTAAGCATTCCAAAACAAACCCCTATTCTGGTGAAAATATTGCTACCAAAAGCTGAACAAATGGATAGAGCGCCCCTAAACAAAACGAGAAAACGATCATGATGTCACACATCGCCGCGCCGCTGTCTGCGCAGCTCCCCCCTCCTTGGGAGGGGGAAGGGGGAGCCCCAGACCCTATATGCTGGCTGTCCACCCTTTAACTCTTAGGCTGGATGTCAAAACACGCGAAAAACCGCCAACCAGAGGGAGGGAGGAATGCCGGGAAGCCTCCGGGTCTTACCCAGAAAATGGCATTTCATTACATTCAATGCTGGTTTTCTGGGAGGAGCCTCTTTGGCTCCCCGGAGCTAACTACCCACAGAGGAAAAAACATAGGGACTTACCCGGGAGGCGGTCGCTGCTCACTCCTCAACTCGAAGTCGAGACAACTAGTTGCAACCGCATACCCAAAGCGACACAGGCTCGACTAGCCCCAGGGACGTTCACAAGGTTACAAGCAGCAAGGACCCTGTTTGACCGCCAAAAACCCCGCGCCTGAATGTCAGCCCATGACATGTTTCCAAAGACGGCGGCAAGAGCAGCGAACTTACGAACGTCATGGGCATGGGAATAGACCACAGGCTGACTAGCCTTAATAACTCTGAGGACGACCTGGGAGACCCCCGCACACGAGAACAGGGAAGAAGGGAAACTGGATTAACCCAAAGTGTGTCCCGGACACAGAAGCCGTGGCGTGCAAATAACGGCGAAGAGCCGCAACCGGACACAAAACATGATGCACCCCGGCCTAACCAACCAAGCATCCACAACCCAGGAAACCCTCCGGAAAGAAGCAGTCTCATTCTTCGCCAGAAAAAGAGATGGCTGCAAGCGAATGAAACCATCACGAAGACCGAAAGAGCAGAAACCCCTGCGCCGGAGGAGAACATGAAGCTCACCAACCCGACCCCCAGAGGCCAATGCCAACAGAAAAAGAGGCTTGGAGAAACAATCCTGAACCAAAGGGGCCACAACAAACTGAGGAGAAGAAAGATAAGAGAGCATTCTGTCCAATGACCAGGACGGCTCAAGCGGCACATGAGCAGGCCGGAGGTGAAACAAGTCCCGAGACAGCTTGCAAAACGGTGCAGAAGTAACATTAATACCGAAAGCAAGCTAAAGCGGCTCTGCCAGCGCCATACGATACGAGGTGACAGTGCTAGGCATAAGGTGACGGTTCTGGAACAACCAAGAGAGAAAGGACAACACCACCCCTAACAGAAAGCAAAGTAAAACAACGAAGACGCAGGAAGAAACGGAATGACTGCCAGGAAACTTTGTACTGCCGCGGAGACGAAACCCACAGGTGGGACACTAACAAGGCAGCCACCTGACCACCATACAGATGATAAACTCGAGTAAAAAATACCATACGTGAAGACTCGAGGAGAAGATCGAACCAGCCACGTGACGTTCCGGTTCGATCTGCAGGGAAAGGCGGAGCCGCAAGAAAACCTCCGGGTTCGGATACCAAGCAAGCAGCACCTGAAACCACAGATGGGCCGGCCACCACTGGGCCAAGAGGACAACTCTCCCCTGGTTAGTCTCCAAGCCAGTCAGGACCTGGAGCAACAGCTGAACTGGGGGAAAGAGGTACAGGAACCCCCACCTCGACCAGTCCTACTGAAAGGCGTCGACCCCAACGGCCCCGCAGTCGGGAAAGGGCGTCACATATAGGGAAAGGCACCACGAGCATGCCGACGCGAAGAGGTCCACCTCGGGGCGACCGAACGTCCGGCAAAGCCAACTGAAGGAGTCGGCGTCGACTGTCCATTCCATGGAGAGGGGAACGAATAGGGACAGGCCGTCGGCCAAGATGTTGGACACTCCCTGCACGTGAACGGCCAGGAGAGCCAAACCCCGAGAACTCAGCAGAAGAGTCACCTGAAGCAACCGGCCCCAAAGAGCCAAAGACCGCATCGAACCCTCTCGGTTCAAGCAATGAACCACCTGGGAACAGTCCGAATGGAGCCGGATCGTCGACCCGCGGGCGACCCAAATCCTCTGAAGAGCAAACCATACCGCTGTGAACTCCCACACCATGCTGTGGGCTCGATGGAAGGTTGGGACCCCACCGTCCCTGGCCGGCATGTGAGCACTGGTCACAAAGCCCCAGCCGAGATATGACAGGTCCATGAAGACATCGAGCGAGGGCTCAGGCAGGCACCAAGGCACCGAACCCTGAAAAACCCGAAGAGGAAGCCTGGCGACACAGCAGCCGACGTAAGGCCCTGGGAGTTGAACCCAGCGATCGCGAGAGAGGCGGAACGGACGTCCACGAAGGAACCAGAACAGCCAACAAAGCCAAACCCGACCCGGCGGGTAGACCAACATCGCGAAGTTCAGGCTACCACACAAACCCGGGAGCAACCGCCGAGTGACTCGGGAGCCCCTTAGGAACAGGCGCAAGCGGGACCGCAGCCAGAGGAGACTCCGGAGGAAGAGACAAGGAAGCGGTTCGAGAATCCCACACAAGACCCAGTCACGACCGAATCTGGGAGGGCACCTGATGGAACTTCATCCAGTTCACCAAGAACCCAAACCTGGTGAGCTGGGAAAGAACCAAATCCCTAGCTAGCAGACAACTGGACTGGCTGGGAGCCCAAACCAGCCAGTCGTCGGGGTAGGCCAACACTCAAACACCTAAAAGATGCAGACGGGCCATGACGACCCGCGTAAGGCGTGTTAATAAGCGAGGCACCAGATTCAACCCGAACGGGAGACAACAAAAGCGGTAACATCAACGCCCCATAACAAAACCAAGAGAGTCCCTAAACCCCGGATGAATCGGGATGTGCCAATAAGCGTCCCGGAGGTCCAGGGACACCATCCAAGAACCCAGCTCCAACTGGAGCTAAACCTGAGACAGCGTAGTCATCCGAAAGGAGGGGCAATGAACCCAGGGGTTCATTGAACCTCAGGTCCGCACAGTCCTGTTTCGGCACTGGAAACAGACGGGAAACCCATCTGAGGGACGACATCGTTTTGAAGACGCCCATGCGAACCCACTCCAAGACGACTCGACAGAGCGCAGGAGAAGAAGCCTGCCCCACCAGCCCCAAACCCCGCAAAGCAGGAGGGGCCACCCAACGCCACCGCAGGCCGAAGGAAACGACTCGAAACGCCCACAAATCGTGGGACCAGGTGTGAGCGAACAGCCCAAGTCTCCCCCCCATCGCCCCGTCAATGGGGCGAACCGCAAAAGGGCCTGCGCCCTTTATGAGACCCAGAACCCCGCATGGGTAGAACACCACGCCGACAAGCCGAAGGAGGGTTTGAAGGTGGAGCCATGCCCGAAACTGGCGCCAGTGGCATACCACGATGAGAGGAACCCCGAGCCCTGGCATGACCCCTCCGGGAAGGTCCACCACGGGACCCCAGGAGAACCAGCAATTTCGACATAAGACTACAACTGCCCGAAGCAGCCTGAATATACTGCGCCATGGCCGCAGGAGCAAAAAGCAGAAGACAAAAGGGCGAAGACATCCTAAGAGCCAGGGCCCAGGCCGATTCCAGAGAGGAGGCAAGCACCGCCTGTCGACACGTGAGCCGAGAAGCGTAAAACTGGGCAACCACATCCTACAAGATCGGCGCAAACAGCTTCAACAACGCAGCCGACGCGCGAGCGGCCGAGCCCAAGGCACCGGACCCTGGAGCAACCCCAAGCACCCACATATCCTCCCCAAGCCAGTCCGAAGACAGCTCTAGGATGGAAAAGAAGCGCAAGGCCGAAGTCAAGATGCCCCCTGGCGCGCAAATCCTCGGCCATTGCGCAGCCTAAAGGGAAGGAACCTGCACACGGAACTGCAGAACACCAACATCCCTTGAAAGGTCAGGAGCAAACAAGCACTCATTGAGGTGCTCAAGGTCGACCCCTAGGAACACCTGAACCACAATCGAAACTTCGCACCACTCCAGCGTGCGGGAATGACGGAACGAATCCCAGGCCTCCAAGGCAAAAATAGGACAGTCCGCCAGCCAAGACGCCTCCGGAACCTCATAACGGGCCCAGAAAGAGAACGAAGTCCCAAACCTGAAAGACGACGGATCCATCACCAAAGCGTAATCCGGGTCACGCAGGAGGTAAGCCGCTAGGGCCGCCCGCACCACAGACAGTTGGATGTGGGAAGCCGAAAACCTCCGGAAAGACGGAACTGCCGCACCCGAGGGAACACTTAACCGAACCCGGGGAGGGGCAGACACCAAATTCAAGTCGTACGCAGAGGGGGGAAAAAAAGAGAACCCCACTCCTTGTAACAATAAGGGTAGCTCTGAGGGTAGAAAAACCCAGGCGGGGTCCAGTGGGGCCCAAGGCCTCAAAGTCAGCCCCTCTCCTGCCCCAGAATCCCCCCCCTAGGGACCCGGGGCAGAGTTATTTCCCAGAGCACGGGCCCTTAAAGAAAAGGCCAATGCAGCCGAGTAAGCCAAACAGAAGGGGGACCATTGGTCAGAACCACAAGCTTCAGCAGAAAGATCGGACTCAAAGGCCTCCATCGCCACACCGGAAGGGTCATAATCCGAGACCACCCGAGACTCAAGAAAGAAAACAGCAGAAAGACATAGCATGCATGGGAAGTGCCCCTAAAGAAAAAGAGGGGAGAAATGGTGTGAAGAGCTGAAGCACCACTCCAGCGAAGAGATCCGGCAGTGCAGACAACTGACAAAATGGAAAGACCCCATGAAACCACATACTTCCACATTCAAGGATGCACAAACCAAACCCACCAAAGAAATGGCAGATAAGAGGGAAGGACAGAGACCTCGGGAAATCCTAGAGCGCAAAAACACACGAAAAATACGTCCAAGCAGACCAAAATACCCAGCCTTCACGATAAAGGTAAACACGACAAACAAGCACTGCCCTGGCGACCAGGCATGTAAACAGGAGAGTAAAATGGCCACCAACACAAACAACGCAACCACAGACCGGATAGCGACCGAAAATGCATAACCCAACGGCAAATATGACTAAGCCCACGAGACCCCTGAGAGAGGTCCCGAAGCAGAACCCACATTCAAGCCCACCACTCTTGAAGAAAAGGTGGATTCCAAGGGAAAAGCCTCAAAGAAGCAGGTCCGCTGGAAAGACCCAGTAACCTCAGCGAGATAATCGGGTTCTACGGCCTCCATCTCTGCATCAAATGGGGCAGCCCGAGTTTCGTTCCCAACTAAACCCTGCCTCGACTCTGAAACCCTCAGACATTTTGGAGCCAGGAGCAGGAGGGGGAAGAGCAGGGCGAACCACACCAACAGTGGAAGGAATGAAGGGTCAAGGATTGAAACAAGGCCGAAGCAACCAACGCCCTCGGGTCCCTAAAACCAAAATGGGGCATTCGAGTGGGTGACCAACCTAGTGCGTTGCAAGAACGTAAACCTACCTTGCAACACAACAGCCGCTTAACCCCTAAGATCTTCCAAAGAAGAATGGGGAAACAGGAGAACAAGAGGAGCACAAGACCAGCACAACTCCGGGTCGAAGGTGTCGGCGACCCAACAATCAGCATGACGGAGGCAAAACAGGTGATCGTCACCCTGAGACAAGGGCAATGAACAACCCTCAAACTCGCACAAGGCGAGATGGGATTCGGAGGACACATCCATTGGTCACCCGAGCCTCGACGGGGGTTTCCAGGGCCCGCAGGGGAAGGTGTCACTACAGGAAGCCCAGGCACTGGTGCTGCAAAGTCAGTTGAACCCCGTCTATATACCAGGCAAAATGACCCCTGTGAAAGAAGCAACCTCGGGGATCGATTAGAGGACTACCAAACGGAACCTAGGCATACCTAATGGAAGCCAGGCAGCCCCCACCAGGCTAGAAAGACTCTCAAAGAATGAAGAAGAAACCCCAAAAGTGCTACACAATAACAAGAGGCCAGACAGAGTCACGGTCGCCGCTTGTAAGCTAGCTGAGCAGCACCGTGCGCTCCAACCAGTTATAAACACACTCTACCCAAGGCCACATGAAAGCACCAAGATCACTGCTGACCCCCAAGGGCAAGGCCTGTGTCAAGCGACAGCAACTCCTACGAGAGTGAAAACCCGAAAGCCTCAGGAAAGATAACCCCTGAGGCCCCAAGGAATGTAAGGGAAGGTAACCCTAATTGCATGCAGCCCGAAGTACTGGTACTCCTGGCCAACGCCCCAACACACGTCAGGTACAACCACTAGTGGCAAAATCCTGACAGGAAATGGCAGCCAGAGTAGACGTTAGCCTCAGCCAGCTTCAGTTGACGAACTGGCGGTCTAGCGGCAGGGGCCCTGTGCAAACAAATGGTGTGTCGGGTTGATGATGCTTTGCTTGTTACCTGGTTTTTCTTTGGGGGGGGGGGGAGATTCTTGGGCTGTGTTCGGTCTGGGTTGCACTTTTCTACCAGTTAGGGGTTTGTTTTGGGACACCTACCTTTCTGGGTGCCTAATCCTGGTCGATGGTAGACATGAATATACTCTCAAAGAGTAGAGTTTTCATAGGCCATTGCTCCCTTTGCCTCTGAGGATACCAGGTTCTGGCTCATAGTTCCCGGTAGGCAAGAACTCTGTATGACTGAATCTCCAGACTAATATAGTCCTATATTAACTATCAGTCCGATAGCTCCAGGGAGCCGATGGGTCTCCCCTCAGAAAATATGGTGTTCAGATATGGACTTAATTGTTTAGATATGAAGGAGTTAAGTCTTAACAAAACTCCATACTGACTGAGCAGTAATACTGATAAATCCTTTTATGAGATTTAGTAGTAGAGATTTAAAGACACAGTAAATAGAAAATAAAAGTTTTCTAATATATATTTTACTTTTCATACATACCTATATACTCTATCGTCACATCTAAGTACATATAAAGGGTCCAATATGATATCATCCTCTGTGAGTGTCTTCCTTGATTTGCCAGTAGTTTCTTCTGGCAGAAGTCCTTCTACAGTCATCGCCCAAAGACGACGGGGAAACAATGAATTGAGTCGCATCCATATTTGTCTATATGTATCTGAAAAGGTAAACATAACATATTGTAAAGAAACTGTAGGCTAATATAATGCATAAATTTACAAGTAATGTGCTTTATGAAACAAGTTACTTACTGAGTAATCATAATCATGAATACTTAAAAAAAGTTATGATTTCTCCCAATTACAATTTCTTGTTCAGTTAGCCTTTACATTTTAGCAGCACTTGATGATCTAGCAACTCATTCATCAACTCCACAGTGACTTTCAACCTGTCATTTATAAGCACTCTGCCTCACACTGCTGCTTCTACTTAACTACCGTGCTGCACCGAGTTTATTGTGAAATTCTCCCAGTGTGCATGAAATAAAGTGTTCCTAAAAAATTATTTTTTCTTTGTAAAATGATAAATTCCCTTCCCTGAACATGTCTATGTAAAAATAAATACCAAATTCCACTTACTTTGACTGGCTGTGAGGACGTGGACAAGGTGCGTTGTGATGTCATCAGAGCCTGGTCGCCCGTGCGTGAATCGCCCAGACACGGTTGCGCGGGCCATTCAAGCACCGGGTGTTGCCACAAATATATTTTCAATTATTTGTTTTATGTATTTCCAATGCGGTTTTATTTGTTTTTTTTATCGTATATGATGCATATTTGTGTCCTTTACAATATGTATACAGTAGAACGTTCATAATGTTCCATGGAACTGTGATACATGTGTCAGTAATGTGTCCACAATAAATGTTTATTGTCGCAATATTATTTGTTAAAAATTCACTAAAATTACAATACAGTATGTGCAGTTTCACACACTATTTACACAGTAACACACTGTATTACACACTCAGTACTTCAGAAGTGAGTAATAAGCAACGAAGTAGTCCATGGTATACAGCGCGAATTCGCTCTCAGTGCACCAGGTACAGATAAATTTTCGCTTCCTGTTTCTTCATTCTGTGTTACTTGGTTGATAGGGTTCTGGAAGTTTTTCTACTCCCCAAGCCTGGCCTGAGGCTAGGCTTGACTTGTGAGTGTTTGGTCCACTAGGCTGTTGCTTGGAGCGGCCCGCAGGCCCACATACCCACCTCAGCCCAGTTGGTCCAGTACTCCTTTCAGGAAACAATCTAGTTTCCTCTTGAAGATGTCCACGGTTGATCCTGCAATATTTCTTATGCTCGTTGGGAGGGTGTTAAACAACCGTGGACCTCTGATGTTTATACAGTGTTCTTTGGTTGTGCCTATGGCACCCCTGCTCTTCACTGGTTCTATTCTGCATTTTCTTCCATATCGTTCACTCCAGTACGTTGTTATTTTACTGTGTAGATTTAGTACTTGGCCCTCCAGTATCTTCCACGTGTATATTATTTGATATCTAAATAAATAAATAAAATAAATGTTTATTTAGGTAAGGTACATACATACAAGAGATTTTACAAAGTTTGTTGGATTAATAGATAGAGCTAGTACATACAATGCCTAAAGCCACTATTACGCAAAGCGTTTCGGGCAGTTTCGGGCATCTCTCTCGTCTCCTTTCTAGTGAGTACATTTGGAGGGCTTTGAGATGATCCCAATAATTTAGGTGCTTTATCGAGTCTATGCCTGCCATATATGTTCTCTGTATTCCCTCTATTTCAGCAATCTCTCCTGCTCTGAGGGGGAAAGTGAGTACTGAGCACTACTTAAGACGGGATAACACAAGTGACTTGAAGAGTACAACCATTGTGATGGGATCCCTGGATTTGAAAGTTCTCGTAATCCATCCGATCATTTTTCTGGCTGACACAATATTTGCTTGGTTATGCTCCCTAAACGTTAGGTCGTCAGACATCATTATTCCCAAATCCTTGACATGCTGTTTTCCTACTATGGGCAGATTCGATTGTGTTTTGTACCCTGTATTATGTTTAAGGTCCTCATTTTTACCATACCTGAGTACCTGGAATTTATCACTGTTAAACATCATGTTATTTTCTGATGCCCAGTTGAAAACTTTATTAATATCAGCTTGAAATTTTTCAATGTCTTCAGCCGAGGTAATTTTCATACTAAACTGATTTTTGTGTCATCTGCAAAGGATAATACGAAGCTGTGATTTGTATTTTTGTCTATATCTGATATGAGAATAAGGAAAAAGCAGTGGTGCAAGGACTGTACCCTGAGGTACAGAGCTTTTAACTGCGCTTGGACTAGATTTTGCGTGTGGGCTTGCAAATAACGCACTCACGTACACCCTTGGCTTTAGTACTTGTAGGTTGTATGTAGCCAAGCTTGTAAAGCATAAGGTAGTATTGAAAAACTTGAAGAGATTCAGCTTGCCTCAAAGAGTGTCCGACAGTCAGGAAAAGATTCAAGTATTCTTGAAAATATCTATGGAAAAACACCACCATGGAAGCCGCTAACACTGTTCATCTATGCTACTTGTATCAGATGCATCATCACTGAACGCAGAAAATGATTCATCTATGTATCATCTAAATAAATTGGAGATAGCATAGGATTGCAAGGGTGAGGCTCAGAGCTACAACTGAATACGCTTGCTGTATTGTACTCAAAGGTGTTGTATCACTTGCATCCGACCTTTGTGTTAGGTCCTTATTGCGCTTAGCTTCACCAATATTATGACCCTTATGTTCTTAAAACATTAAGGTTTGAATTTCACCGACAGAGATTCAGAGCGTTATCTTTCAACACTGCGTCGGACAGGTGTTTGGGAGCCAGAGGCGCGTGCGCCACCCAAGGTTGCTCATTCAGTACTAACCCAGCCAGCAGCCCTAGGGCATTCTGGGAATTTTTTCCAAGATGACTGCCTCTCACTGGAGGTCCTAAGAGTCCATTTCGTACACATTTAGAATGGGAATGGAAAAATCAAAGAGAGTTTTCTCAGTTAGCGCCGTTTCCTGCCGACCGAGAATACTCAGCTGGCACAGTTAAGTGGTTAAGGCAGTGTGTGACAATAAATTTCCTTTTGCAATTTATCTTGCCAGTGGATGGAAGTGGAAAAAACAGCGTTGAATGTGCCATGAAACGCCATTTTCTGGGTGAGACCCGGAGGCTCCCCGGAGCTATCCAGGCTGATATGCTAATGTCAGACTTTGGCATCAGTCATGTGCATGGAGTTCTGTGGGTCTACCGGGGACCATGAGCCAGATCCTGGCCCCCTCAGAAGAAGCACGAGGAGCAATGGCCTATAGAAACCCCCCTGGGTTTGGAAGCATTCTATGTCTGCCATCAATCAGGTCAGGCACCCAGAAAGGTAAGCTTCCCAAAACAAACCCCCTATTTTGGTGAAAGTTGCAACAAAAAGCCGAACAAGTGGATAGAATTCCCCAGAAAAGAAATGAGCATGACTTCACACGTCACCACGCCGCTATCTGCGCAGCTCCCCCCTCCCTGGTAGGGGAGGGGGAAGGGGGAGCCCCAGACCCCCCACACTGGTCATCCACCCTTCAGTTCTGAGGCTGGACATCAAAACAGACATAGAATGCTTTCAATCACAGGGGGGGGGGGGGGGAGGGGGGTTCTATAGGCCATTGCTCCTCATGCCGCTTCTGAGGGGGCCAGGTTCTGGCTTGTGGTCCCTGGTAGGCCCACAGAACTCCATACACACATGACTGATGCCAAAGTCTGACATTAGCATATCAGCCTGGGTAGCTCCAGGAAGCCGAAGGGGCTTCCCCCAGAAAATTGACTTTTGGGGCAAAATATACATGTGACTATCAACTTGCACTTACTCATCATCCACAAGATACAATCCTATCCAAACATGTAAAGTGTCTTCAGTGGTAAGAATAGGTGTGCTTGAAGGCCCACCATAAACATTCTTCATGCAAATTTACCTGCCACAATTGATTAGAAACTGCTACTTGCTTGTACTCTAAAACAGTGTTGAATGCATGTGGACTGACCTCAGCAAACACATCAAGAGATAAGGTAAGAAACATGAAAATAAAAAAAGAAAAAAAAAAGAAAATGAGAGAGAAAATAGAGTAGCTTGCTATGGTACTGTAGTGTGCATGCAGCCAAGTAGCACTGTAGTGCATACAGCCAAGTGGCACTGTAGTGTGCATACAGCCAAGTGGTGCTGTAGGGTGAGTATAGCCAAGTTGGGCTGTAGGGTGAGTATAGCCAAGTGGTGCTGTAGGGTGAGTGTATTTGCAGAGAGAGAACCTTCACCAGTAAAAGGACATTACCCTTTCACAAACCCCTACTGTAACTTCCATGGGAGACTCGGACACAGTGGCATCTGGCAGGTGATGGATGGATCTTGGAGACCAGCATGTTAGGCTAAGGCTTGCTGGAGCCAGAATTAAGCTTGGGGAGCTCACGTGGGAGGTCCCTCCCAGAAACTTTAGTATTAAACCAATAAACTCTGACCTGACTTACCTAATACTTTACGTGGTACTCCAGGCAGCAATAAGCACTTAATAGAAGCAGTAATGGGAGCAGCCAATAACCAGAGTTGATGAGGTGGCATTCTCATCAAGCGGTCCAGCAATACCAGAAGTCGACCAGGTTTATCTGCTGCATCTTCCATTGCTGATAAAACATTCAGAAGGTCAAATAAAGTTAAAGCAGAATAGCTAATTGTCTAAGCTTTCTTGCTATAACAATCATCATATTTTAAAACAATTTTAATAGAAAATTACCATTTTCAATAAAGATTTCCACTGTAAACTACAATCTTGATTTTTGTAATGTAGATACCAGGAAACAAAAACACTAATGAATAAAATTTGTGTTTATCAAATACAGTATGCAGTAAGAGAGATAACAATGCCATTTAGATTTCAATTACCTGGTAAATTGACTGTAGTAGAATCATTACATTTAGGGTGGTTTGCCTCAGTAATGAAATGATCTCAGATCCTCATGTGCTCCATGCAAGGTTAGATCAAAGAGGCCCCTGTTCCAGTAGACAATAAATGTTTCACAAGTACCTACCAATGGAAAGTCTGATCTATAATAACCAGTTACCTGGATCTTATCTGGAGAGGGGTCTCAGGAGTTGTTCTACTCCTCGAGCCCAGCCTGAGGCCAGGCTCAACTTGTGATAACCTGGTCCAACAGGCTGTTGCTTGCAGCTTCTCGTAGCCCCACAGCCAGGTTGGACCAGTACTTCTAGCAAGAACTTATCTAATTTGTTCTTGAAGAAGTCCGCCTTTGTTCCAACATTACTTCTAATGCTTGCTGGGAGAGTATTGAACAGCTGTGGACCTCTTATGTTCAGTGTTCTCTGATTGTGCCTATGGCACTTCTCACTGGTTTTCTTTCACATTTCTTTCTGTACCTTTCACTCCAGTAAGTTGTTATTCTACTGTGCAAATTTGGGACATGGCCTTCCAGTATCTTCCATGTACTGTATGTATTATTTGATACCTCTCATCTCCTTTCCAGAGAGTACATCTCGAGAGCTTCCCTGAGCCCAGGGAAGCTACTGAAGTGGGTACCCAGAAGGAGCAGTGGTTACTATAGTACAGAAATGCTTTAGTAAAAGAAAATGTTCTGAAAGTTTTGATGCATGGGAACTAATAAGGCTACCCAGAACTGTTAAAATAGAAGAGACAACAATAGGAGAGAGATAATATAAACAACAAACGTCATTCTTATTCTAAATTCCCTGTGAACGGCACCAGTCCCTGCCACATACAGGTGGTGAGACACCACAAGCATGCATGCATACATACTAACCACTATATTTACTAATCAACATGAATTCAACATGACAACAATAATCCCTAAGCACTACTGGGACAGGGTAACTCATAAGATGTCTACTCAAAGAAGGAATACTAAAACCCCAGAGAAGTTAAATTTGGTGATTAACTGGGATTGCTGATGGGGCCAGGGAAGGGTACCTGGAAACCAGAGCCAAAAAGAACAAGACAGGAAGACACACTCATGGTGATTATTATACAGTATACATATACTCATGAAATGTATAACCCCAATCCAAGACAAAAGTCCAAGTGAAAGCTAGCGACTTATGTTAGAATCCACAACAATCTCAGCAGAAGCTTACTTGTTGCAAGGAAGACACCAGGCATGTGAGAAGAGCTGCTTGCTGCAGCCCTGTGTTCTATGGTTTACCTCTTAATAATATAGAAAATTTTACATACACAGCCTAGTCTGTGACCAGTTTTTCCTGGTGATCGCCTGCTCGCCAAAGATATGTATCTTCATAGTCTAAAGGGCCACAAAGCCTTGAGAGCAAAGACTATCTGTTAACTCCAGTAGACGTTAAGCATCATGTTAAGCATCAGTGAATGCTTACATGTTAAAAAATTAATACTAAATAATCCACAAGATGTGGATATTTAAGCACAGGAGATCTGAAACCAGCCAAACAAGTTAATAATCAGAAATACCTACAGCCTACTGGAAAGTTCAGGTGGCACTGTGATAACATGCTCGCCCCACACATTGCAACCATTTTAGCCTAAGTTCGAATCCTGGCCAGAGAGTATTGACCAGGCACCATCTTTAACTGTATGCATCTGTTCACCAAATAGTAATTGGGTACCTTGTTGTTAAACAGCTGGTGGGTCATGTTCCAGGGAAAGTAGTGGGTTAGGCCTACAATGAGCTATGGGAAGGAAAAGGTCTCAGCCTGAAAATGTGGACTGGTAAATTTGTGAATATCATCCTAGAGGCACTTGTGCATCAGTACATTATGCCAGCCATAAAAGAAAGTGAAGGGGCTGTCCCATCTTCATTGGATCTTGCATTCACTAGTAAACAGCAAAAAAGCTTTGACCTACAGTACCTGTCTCCATGAGGTAAGAATGATCACGTCCTACTGGAAATGAAGTATGCCTCTCATTATGACATGTAGGACTGGAGAAGGGGAATATCAGAAACTCGACTAAACTGAATGTTATGGATAAGTTAGCTCTAATGGATTTTGTTGGGAAAGGAACCAAAAGAGCATTATGCAAAGACAACAAAACTTTATTTATAGTCAGAGTACCTAATTTGTTTTATTTCAAAAGAAACAAAGGACTGAAAAACAGAACTGCTTATCATAAATTGTCAAAAGGCCACAAATTTAAAAGGGGGAAAGAGATGAAAGCAATATGCGAATTGACATAACCCAGTAACATATCAGAAATACAAATAAGCTGAAAACCACTACATACTTGTGAGAAATCATGTTCTATTAATTTATTATAAGTAAACTGAATGTAAATAATATAATTCAGATATTAAGAATGAATATCAGATTCATAGATATTGCAGGAAATTTGAAAAACAGTTTCAAAAGTTTGACTTCCCTTGTATGAAGACATAAAAGGGAAGTCAAGGACTTCACAGTACCAAACATGCTATAAGACTTATGGGCACACCTAAGAGTACCTAGATTGTTACCACATGAAGTAATAAACTACTTGTGAATTTAAGCAGAAACAAAGCAATTCAGCAAGGCAAAAATAATCACTATTTATTAAAATGGTGACAAAGAAGACCCCATTTAACTACAGACCAGTATCAGTGATCAGTATAAAACCAGCGTTGAATGTAATGAAACGCCATTTTCTGGGTGAGACCTGGAGGCTTCCCGGAGCTTACTAGGCTGATATGCTAATGTCAGACTTTGGCATCAGTCATGTGTATGGAGCTCTATAGACCTACCGGGGACTACGAGCCAGAATCTGGCCCCCCCTCAGAGAGGCATTGGGAGCAATGGGCTATAGACACCCCAGTGTGGTTCGAAGCATTTTATGTCTGCCATCGACCGGGTCAGGCACCCAGAAAGGAAAGCATCCCAAAACAAACCCCTATTCTGGTAAAAATATTGCTACCAAAAGACGAGCAAGTGGATAGAACTCCCCCTAAAAAAAACGAGCAAACGAGCATGACGTCACACGTTGCCACGCCGCTGTCTGCACAGCTCCCCCTCCATGGGAGGGGAAAGGGGGTGCCCCAAACCCCCCACACCGGCTATCCACCCGTCAGTTCTGAGGCTGAATGTCTGGATGTCAAAAACGAGAAAAAACGCCGACCGGAGGGAGGGAGGGATGCCGGGGAGCCTCTGGGTTTCACCCAGAGAAAATGGCGTTTCATTACATTCAACGCTGGTTTTCTGGGGGGAGACCCTTCGGCTCCCCGGAGCTAACTACCCACAGAGGAAAATTTTAATAGGGACTTACCCAGGAGGTGGTCGTTGTTCACTCCTCAACTCGAATTCGAGACAACTGGCTGTAACCGACGTACCAAAGTGACGGACGCCCGACTGGGCTCCCGGAACATTCACAAGGTAACGGGCAGCCAGGACCCAGTTCGACCACCAAAATCCCCGCCCCCGAATATCAGCCCAGGACATGTTGCCAAAGAAGGCAGCAAGAGCAGCGAACTTACAAACGTCATGGGCACGGGGATAGACCGCAGGCTGGCTACCCTTAATAACTCCGCGGACGACCTGGGAGACCCACACCACCGTGAACAGGGAAGAAGGGAAACCGGATCAACCCAAAGCGTGTCCCCGGACACAGAAGCCGTGGCACGCAAATAACGGCGAAGAGCCACAAACAGACACAAAACATGATGCACCCTCAGCCTAACCAACTATGCATCAACAACCCAGGGACCCCTCCTGAAAGCAGCAGTCTCATTCACCAGAAAAGAAGGAGATGGCTGCAGACAGAAAAAATCACGAAGACCAAAGGAGCAGAAACCCCTGTGCCAGAGGAGAGCATGAAGCTCCCCTACCCAACCCCAAAAGGCCAATGCCAACAGAAAAAGAGCCTTGGAGAAACACTCCAGAACTGAAGAGGCCACAACAAACCAAGGAGAAGAAAGAATAGAGAGCACTCTGTGCAACGACCAGGACGACTCAGGTGGCTCATGAGCAGGCAGGAGGTGAAACAACGCATGAGACAGCTTGCGAAACGGCGCAGAAGTAACATCAATACCGAAAGCAAGCTGAAGCGGCTCCGCCAGCGCCGCACAATACGAGGCAACAGTGTTAGGCATAAGGTGACGGTCCTGGAACAACCATGAGAGAAAGGGCAACACCACCATAACAGAAAGCAAAGTACAACGACAAAGATGCAAGAAGAAACGGAAGAACCACCAGGAAACTTCATACTGCCACCGAGACAAAGCCCGTAGGTAGGATACTAACAAGGAAACCACCTGATCACTATAGAGATGATGATAAACTCGAGTCAAAAATACCATATGCGAAGACTCGAGGAGAAGATAAAACCAGCCACGTGATGTTCCGGTCCGATCTGCTGGAAGAGGTGGAGCCGCGGGAAAACCTCCGGGTTCGGACACTGAGCAAGCAGCACCTGAAACCACGGCTGGGCCGGTCACCACAGGGCCAAGAGGACAACTCTCCCCTGGTAAGTCTCCAAGCTAGTCAGGACCTGGAGCAATAGCTGAACCGGGGGAAAGAGGTACAGGAACCCCTACCTCGACCAGTCCTGCCGAAAGGCATCAACCCCGATGGCCTTGCAGTCGGGGAAGGGCGCCACATACAGGGGAAGGTGCCTTGACCACGTCGATGTGAAGAGGTCCACCTCGGGGCGACCGAACGTCTGGCAAAGACAACTGAAGAAGTCGGCGTCGACCGTTCATTCCGTGGAGTGGGAAACGAAATGAGACCAGTCTCCGTGGTGTAGTGGTAAGACACTCGCCTGAGGTTCCACGAGCGCTTTGTCATGGGTTCGTATCCTGGCCGGGGAGGATTTACTGGGCGCAAATTCTTAACTGTAGCCTCTGTTTAACTCAAGAGTAAAATGGGTACTTGGTTGTAACAATGATTCTTCGCGGCGGGGATCGTATTCCAGGGACCTGCTCGAAACGCTACGCATACTAGTAGCTGTACAAGAATGTAACAACTCTTGTATATATCTAAAAAAAAAAGACAGGCCGTCGGCCAAGACATTGGACACTCCCCGCACGTGAACTGCCAGGAGAGCCAAACCCCGAGAACTCGGCAGACAAGTCACCTGGAGCAACCAGCGCCAAAGAGCCAAAGACCGCATCGAACCCCCTCGGTTCAGGCAATGATCCACCGGGGAGCAGTTCAAATGGAGCTCGATCATCAATCCATGAGTGACCCCAAACCCTCCGAAGCGACAGTCACACCTCTGCGAACTCCCGCACTGTGCTGTAGGCTCGATAGAAAGATGGACCCCACTACCCCTGGCTGGCCTGGTGAGGACTGGTCACAAAGCCCCAGTCAAGAGACGACATGTCCAAGAACACATCAAGCGAGGGCTTAGGTAGGTGCCAAGGCAATGAACCCAGAAAAACCCAAGAGGAAGCCGGCAACGCAAGGCCCCCTGAGAGCCGAACCCAGCAGTCGCGAGAGAGTCGGAAGGGATGTCCCCGAACAAATCAGATCGGCCGAGGAAGCCAAACCAGACTCGGTACCCGTGATGGTTGACCATCACGGCAAAGTTTAGGCTCCTGCACAAACCCTCGAGCAACCTCCGAGTGACCCGGGAGCCCCCCAGAAACAAGTGAAGGCAGGAGCGCAGCTGAAGCAGAGACTCTGGAGGGAGAGACAAGGAAGCGGTCCAAGAGTCCCACACAAGACCCAGCCAAGTCTGAACCTGAGAGGGAACCAGATGGAACTTCTGCCAGTTCACCAGGAACCTGAACCCGGTGAGCTGGGAAAGAGCCAAATTCCTAGCGAGAAGACACGCGGACTGGCTAGCCCAGACCAGCCAGTCATCGAGGTAGGCCAGCGCCCGACGACCGAAGAGACGCAGACGGGCCACCATGATCTGGGAAAGGCATGTGAACCCACAAGGTGCCAGGTTTGACCCGAATGGGAGACAAAGAAAGCAGTAACCGAGAACGTCCCACAACAAACCCGAGCCAACCTCTGAACCGCGGACGAATCGGAACGTCCCAATACGTGTCCCAGAAGTCCAGACACACTATCCAAGCGCCCAGCTTCAACAGAAGCCGGACCTGGGACATAGTAATCATCCGAAAAGTGGGGCAAAAGACTCAAGGGTTCAGACGGGACAAGTCCAGAATGAACCGCAAGTCCGCAGTCCCGTTTCAGGACCGGGAACAGACTGGAAACCCACCTGAGAAACATTGTCATTTCGACCACGCCTAAGCGTATCAACTCCAAGATGACCCGACTGAGCACAGGAGAAGAGGCCTGCCCAGCCAACCCCGAACCTCCGCGAAGGAGGAGAGGCCGCCCAACACCACTGCAGCCCATCGGAATCGACCCAAAAAAGCTCATGAATCGTGAAACCAGGAGTGAGTGAACAGAGTGAGCCCCCTCCCATCGCCCTGTCAATGGGGTGAACCGCGAAAGGGTCGACGCCCCTTACGAGAACCTGACTTACGCACAGAGCGAACACAGCGCCGACCAGACAAAGACGGGTCCGAAGGTTTTGCCGACCCAAAAACTGGAACCAGCTGCCTACCATGACAAGAGGAACATCATGGTAGGAACTTCTGGGATGAACCCCCCCCCCAGACCCCCAAAGGATCAACAAGTCTGACAACAGACAACAATTAGAAGATGCTGCTTGCAGAAACTGGCCAAACCTAAGACTCCACAAACAACAAGGGACAATATGGCGATTAAAACCAAACAGCCAGGCAGATTCCAACAAGGAAGCGAGCACCACCTGCCGACATGCGAGATGTAAAGTGAAAACTGTGTCACCGCATCCTGCAGGATTGGCGCAAACAGCTCAAGCGGTGCAGACGACGCACGCGCTGCCGAGACCAAGGCACCAGATCCAGGAACCACCCCAAGCGCCTACACATCCTTGTGGAAGGTGGCCCCATGCCCCAAGGGCAGTACTTACTGGGCACCTAGGGAAGGTAGCCCTAGGCGCATGCAGCTCGAATACTCCTGGCCTGTGCACCCCCAAGGAACAGTCCCCACACCACTAGGTACAGAGCTGGAGACAAATCAGGAGCACATGACTTCAGCTTATCACATCAGCCTCAGAACTGGGGTTTTGGGTAGCCAGCACAAGGGGTCTGGAGCTCCCCCTTCACCCTCCTGGGAAGAGAGAAGCTGCACAAACGGCGATGTGATGACGTACGTCATGCTCATTTTTTTGGGGGGAGATCTGTCCACTTAGTTCGGCTTTCAGTAGCAATTTCTTAACCAGAATAGGAGTTTGTTTTGGAATGCTTACCTTTCTGGGTGCCTGACCCGGTTGATGGCAGACATAGAATGTTTCCAACCACATGGGGGTTGCTATAGGCCATTATTGTTCCTCGTGCCTCTCTGAGGGGGCTAGGTTCTGGCTTGGTCTCCAGTAGGCCTAAGAACTCCATTCATACTGACTGATGCCAAAGTCTAACATATCCATATCAGCCTGGATAAGCTCCGGGAAGCCGAAGGGGTTCCCACCCCCCCAGAAAAATAAGTAATAGCAACAAAATTAGAATATGAAGCAGTTGTATGGTATACATAACAAGAACTAACCTTTAGTTACAGATTGAAGGTCCAGTGGAACTTTTGGAGGTAGGATGCCAAGGCTAGAATTAGCTGAGGGACTTTGGTACAACCAGTCTTCCACCAAACAGAGCTGTGGATAATGACTCACCAACAATTTCACCAGAGGGGAAAACAGACCTGTAAAAATAAAACACTGATTTTAATAAATTGTCATTTCTTCGTGGTGCCCTTAATAGCTGATCAAGCTAAGAACTACTCCAGCCCAGCCAAGCCTTAGGAAGCTGCACCAGACTTTTCAAACTCACTCTTGCCTACTGGAAGTCTGGACCAGAATCTGGCTCTCTTTATGAGGCAATGGGAGCTTGGGGATCAGAGAACAATATGAAACCGAAAAAACCCAGTGTTGAATGTAATGAAATGCCATTTTTTTGGGTGAGCCCAGGAGGATCTCTGGAGCTATAAGTCTAATATTAGTTATATTAGTCCACACCGCACATCTCATGATGAAGATGGGACCACTGGCTGCAACCGACAGCCCAAGGCCAGAGGGTTGGCTCCCGGACACGACTGCTGAGGACCAGGAATGGTCACGAGATAACGGGCAGCCAGGACCCTGTACGACCTTCAAAACCCCTGTGCCCTAACATCAGCCAAAGATATGATCCCAAACACAGTCGCAAGAACCGCAAACCTCTGAACATCATGGGCACGAGGATAGCCGAAGGAGACCTGAGAAACCTGAGTCCCGGAACAGGGAACGAGCGACATTGGATCAACCCAAAGTGGACTCCCCAGACTCAGAACCCGAGGTGCCCAGGTAATGACGTAAAGACGCAACCAGACACAAAACATGATGCCCCCCTGGTCTGACCAACTAAGCAGCAAAAACCCACAGACCCCTCTGGAAGTCTGCCGCCCCAATCTCTGCTGTAAAAAAAGGAGACAACTGCAAACAAAACGTCCACCAGGACCAAGAGAGCAGGAAGCTCACCAACCCAACCTCCAGAGGCCAAAGCCAACAAAAACAGAGTCTACGGAAAGCAAACATGAACCGAAGGGACCACTAGAAACCAAGGGGAATAGAGAAAAGAGAGCATCTGGTCCAAAGACCAGGACAACACAGGCGGTGCATGGGCAGGCCGGAGGTGGAAAAATGCATGAGAAAGCTAATGGAAGAGAGCAGAAGTGACATCCACCCCAAGCGCAATCTGGAGCAGCTCCACCAGCACTGCACCATAAGAGGCAACAGTAATCGACATCAGATGCCGGTCCTGAAAAGTCAAGGAAGAAGGACAGAACTACACAATCAGAAACCGAAGAAAACCTATGAAGAGAAAGGAAATGGTAAAAAGAACGCTAAGAGACTGCATACTGTCACCGCGAAGAAGACCGCAGGTGGGACACAATAAGAGAAGACACCTGATTACCAACCAAGCAGTGATACATATGTGTCAGAAGACCAGACGTGAAGAGCGGAAGAGGAGATCGAACCAGCAAGGTACCTTACTGGTCTGACCTGCCGGAAGAGGCGGAGCCACATAAAACTCCCCGGGTTTGGACACCGAGCAAGCAGTTCGGCTAGGCTGGCCACCAAGGGGCTAGAAGGAGAACTCTTCCCTGACAGGACTCCAGCTGAGCCAGAAGATGGAGCAACAGCTAGACTGGGAATAGGGTGCCATCTACACAAGGAGACGCCATGATCAAGCCAACATGAAGAGGCTCATCACCGGGGGCCCAAACTTCCAGCAAAGCCAACTGAATGAGATGGTGCTGACTGTCCAGTCCGTGGAAAAACGAATGAACCGAGACAGGCTGACCGCCAGGACAGTAGGACACCCCAGATGAGAACCGCACAGAGAGCTAAACCACGAGAACACAGCAGAAGAGCCACACGAAGCGTCCAGCCCCAAAGAGCCAAGGACTGAAAAGACCCACAAAGGTTCAGGCGGGTCTGAATGTGAAAGCGTTGAATGTAATGAAACGCTATTTTCTGGGTGAGTCCTGGAAGGGTCCCCGGAGCTATCCAGGCTGAATGGATATAGTGGTACCTCGGAACACGAGTGTCCCTGTATGCGAGTTTTTCGGAATACGAGCAGGATTTCCTCGGAAAATGTGTCTCGGAAGGCGAGGGTTACCTCGGGACACGAGTTTGTTGATACGTGTACTGTACAGGCCGACTAGTGCATGGTGGCACGGCGATCGCGCCTCAGTTTACCAGTGTCTCGCGCCCAGTGACTATCCCGCCTGAATTCTTCACAAGTATTTACAGTTTTTTGTCGTTTTTTTGGCCATTTGAGCATAAAAGTTGTCATTATATATCTCGCCATGGGTCTCAAGAAAGCCATTGGTAAAGTTCAACCTAAGAAAATAGCTGTGAGTAGAGGCAGTAGAGGATGTCCCTTCTTGATTAAGAAAATGTGTGAAGTATGGGAAGAACTGCAAAGTTTTGTTGAAAACACTCACCCAGATAAAGCTGTAGCAGGCCGTTGCATTGACCTTTTAAATGACAATGTGATGTCTTAATACAGACAAGTATTAAAATGTAGGGAAAAACAAGTATGTAAGTATGGGAAGTATGGGAAGAACTGCAAAGTTTTGTTGAAAACACTCACCCAGATAAAGCTGTAGCAGGCCGTTGCATTGACCTTTTAAATGACAATGTGATGTCTTAATACAGACAAGTATTAAAATGTAGGGAAAAACAAGTGTCTTTAGACAGATTCTTAGTAAAACAAGCAAGTCCTAGTGGTATGCAGGCAAAATGTGCCAGAGTGTGCATACCAGTGAAGTCCTCACTGCCTGATGTTATAATGGAAGGAGACTAACCTTCCAAACAGTAACACCTCTCCTCCTCCTCACATCTTCCATACACCAACAGCAGTCCTCAGCAAGGGTATGTAATAACTTGAACATAGTTTTGTAGGTTTATTTAGATGAATTAGGTATAAAAATTTAGTTTGATGTGGGGTTTTTGGGGTAGTCAGGAACGGATTAATTCATTTCCCATTATTTCTTATGGGGAAATTAGCTTCGGAATACGAGTTTTCGGAATATGAGCCGTCTCCAGGAACGAATTAAACTCTTAAACTGAGGTACCCCTGTATATAACTTTCTGGCATCAGTCAAAGTGCTTGGAGTTCTTGCCTACCGGGGATCATGAGCCAGAATATGGCTCCCCACCCTTCAGAAGAGGCACGAGGAGCAATGGCCTATGGAATCCCCGCCTGTGGTTGGGAGCATTCTATGTCTGCCATCGACCAGGACAGGCATCCAGAAAGGTAAGCGCTCCAAAACAAACCCCTATTCTGGTAAAACTATTGCTACCGAAATCCGAACAATTGGAAAGAACTCACCGACCGAAAATTAGCAAACGAGCATGACGTCATCATGTTGCCGCGCCGCCATCTGCGCAACCCTTTCCCCTTCCCGGGAGGGGGAAGGGGGAGCCCCAGACCTCTCGTGCTGGTGACCCAACACTAGTTCTTAGGCTGGATGTCAAAACACATGATAAACACCGCCGACCGGAGGGAGAGAGGGATGCCGGGGAGCCTCTGGGACTCGCCCAGAAAATGGCGTTTCATTACATTCAACGCTGATTTTCTGGGGGGAGCCCTTTCGGCTCCCCGGAGCAACCTACCCAAAGAGAAGGAAAGTAAGGGACTTACCCGGGAGAAAGGACCTTACAAAGAGAAGGTCTGTCCTCACTCCTCAACGCAAAGTTGAGACAGCTGTCTGCAACTGCCTACCCAAAGCAACGCAGGCCCTACTAGGCCCAGGGACATTCACCAGGTAGCAAACTGCCAGGACCCTGTTCGACCTCCAAAAACCCCGGGCCCGAATGTCAATCCAGGACATGTTGCCAAAGACAGCAGCCAAGGCGGCAAACTTACTCACATTATGGGCACGGGGATAGACTGCAGGCTGGCTAGACTTAATAATCTTCCGGACAACCTGAGAAACCCGAGCCCGGGAACACGGAAGAAGGAAAACCGGGTTGACCCAAAGCGCATCTCCGGCCACCGAAGCCGTGGCACGCAAATAACAGCAGAGAGCCGCAACCGGACACAACACATGATGCACCCCCGGCCTGACCAATCAAGCATCAACGACCTAAGGCTCCCTCTGGAACGCAGTCATCTCATTCATGGCTAAAAAAGAAGAAGACGGCTGCAAGCGAACAAAACGCCCCCCAGGACCAAAAGAGCAGAAACCCCTGCGCCAGAGGAGAGCATGAAGCTCGCCCACCCGACCCCCAGAGGCCAATGCTAACAGGAAAAGAGCCTTGAAAAAACAATCCGAAACAGAAGGGGCCACAACAAACTGAGAAGAGAGAAACGAGAGCACCTGGTCCAAGGACCAGGACGGCTCAGGTGGCGCACGAGCAGGCCGGAGGTGAAACAACGCACGAGACAGCTTGCGGAATGGAGCAGAAGTAACATCAACACCGAAAGCAAGCTGAAGCGGCTCCGCCAATGCTGCACAATACAAGGCATAAGATGACGGTCCTGGAATAACCAAGAAAGAAAGGACAAGACAACCTTATCAGAGACCAAAGAACACCTACACAGTGATAGGAAAAAATGGAAGGACCGCAAGGTAACTTCATACTGCCGCCAAGATGAAGTATACAGGTGGGAGACCAACAACAAAGCCACCTGCGCACCATACAAGTACAGTAATGATAAACTCGAGTCAAAAACTCCAGACGCGAAGACTCGAGGAGAAGACCGAACCACCCTCTTACTGGACTGGCCCAGTCTGCTGAAAGGGGCAGAGACGCGGGAAGACCCTTGGGTTCGAACACCGAGCAAGCAGCGCCTGAAACCAAGGCTGGGCAGGCCACCAAGACCGAATCTGGTAGGGAACCAGATCGGATTTCCTCCAGTTCACCAGGAACCCGAATCCGGTGAGGTGGGAAAGAACAAACAAAGTCCCTGGCTAGCAGACACGCAGACCGGCTGGGAGCCCAAACCAGTCAGTCGTTGAGGTAGGCCAGAACCCGCACACATAAAAGACGCAGCCGGGCCACCACGACCTGAGTAAGGCGATTAAACACCCAAGGCGCCAGATTCAAGCCGAAGGGAAGGCAACGAAAGCGGTAAGCTTGATGCCCCACAACAAAACCGAGCCAGTCCCTGAACACCGGATGAACCGGAACGTGCCAATATGCGTCCTTG